TTTTTTTTTTTTTTTTTTACGAAGTAAAGGATTGTGTCTGTAAACATATAAATTTTAACTTTCTGGTAAATTTGAATTTATTTCAATATTTGGGGTCCCATTTTCTGGGCAGAATTATATCTGATCACCTGTCATTACCCAGTTTTGGGATATTTGCTCATGAGTAATGACAGCACTATTGCACTATCACAATCCTTACAGATTTCTATATGTATGGAATATATTTGATTGCAAGATGACTATCTGTCAACTTTGGGCACATGGGCGGTTCATGTTGCTTTGGCCACTTCAATGTTAAGACATGCATGGTCCAATTGCTTGATTCCTGGTTCTAAAATCTTGGTTACTTTTTGAAATTTGAGGGATACTAATCCCATTGTAACTTAGGTGCAGTGCATCTGATTCTTGGATATTGGGGTATTGGGTCGCATGTTTATGGGTAAAATCCCACTATCCAATAATGATGAAATAAATAAACACTTTCTCCTTTTAATGATGAAACACGTAAATCATATTATATACTATGGAACTCAAAAACTCTATGGCATTAGAGTTCAACAAGCTCAAATGAGCAATTTGATCCATTTATTGATCAGACAACCAATCAGATCCCAGGAATGGCATTCTTAAGCGAGTCACTATTTTGCATGATGTAAACTTTTGAAGGATAAAAATGAATAAAACGAATTGGAGAAAATAGGCTTGAAAGCCTTTTTGTATTTTCTTTGCTGATGAAAAAACTGATACTATACAAATGGTGATGCACTCAATATATACAGCATCAAAGGAATCATTCCTAACAAACCTCCTAACAAATTTACACGTGGAGTGGTGGCCAAAAATAGAAACAATACAATTTGTACAAAAATAAGAGAAAACAACCTAACTAATATTCTTCTGGATAATTCTTATGTTGCATCCTTGTCACCAATTCCTCAGAGCTTCTTTCCTGTTGACTGTGCTCATGCTCCTCCAGCTGAGTCGTGTGCTCCTCCAGCTGAGCCATATCTTGTAATTTCAATACATGAATATTTTAAAGGAAACAACCCCACATCAATTCAAGTCGAAAAGTTGAATACTTCTCTTAATAATGATGACACTTAGATTGAAAGCCAAAGACTATAATATACATACATATATAGAATATAAAATCCTCCGCGTACATATAAAGGACTACAAATATCCAATGATGATAGAAAGAAATCCAAAAATTAAGTTGTTTAATGACTAATATAAAAGTCATGCTTTTTTAAATAATAAATAAAATAAAAAGAATAAGTTTCTATCCAAGAGGCATTTAACTTTTTAAAAGGCCTTTTCACAATTCAAGTGAACTATACAAAGAAACCGCTGCTATCTCATCTCTAACACAAATTATTAAAATGCACATTATCGTATCTTTATATAATAACGTTAAAAATTATTGAGACCTGATTTTACTTGAAGTTTGAAAATACCAAAATCAAACATGAACATTTCGACCAAGCATGCTTGTTGGATAAAATAACAGTAAAGTGCAGAAAAACTTATCAATAGATCGAGTCTCGTGACAGCACGATGTCCTAAAGCCAAATTGCCCGTCGATAACTGCTGCGACCTCTGTGGACAATCACCTCCAGGATACAACGATCAAAAAAACCAATTGTGCAGCAATCACAAAAGGTTTTCAGAACTCTCAAGTGTACTCCAGAAATNAATTTTATGAGGGGTAGGTATATATAAATTATTTTTTATAATATTATTATTAATATTTAATTAAATATAAAAATATGTATCAATCTATAAAAAATCTGATCTTTGAACACTAAAACTTAAAATATTATTTTTGAACTTGGATCTTGAAAAGTAGGCCTCCATGTAATTTCCACAAAAAATTATGAGCTGGGTGCCTGGTCCAAATTGGCCCAATTTCAAAAAAATAAATAAAAAAATAGTAGAAGGATGAAGAAGACGAACTAGTAGGAAGCTGCCGGCGAAACTCCCAAGTCCCAACTGCAACACTGCTCCGGCGGATCCCAGCACCCGCGGCCGCTCCCCCTGGATGGATGTTGGGTCCATCTCTGACACTACGTGACATTATAAATGATAAATTCAAATTAAATGACATCATATAAGCCCTTGTTTGCATATTTAAAAATAAAAAATTTAATACATTTTGATAAAAGTTGATAAAATGTGCTGTTGAAAAATTGTGAATTTCATAAAACGTGGGATTATTATTGTAGTGTTATTATTTACTTTGAAGTCCACTGGCCCCTCAAAAGTTTTCTATTGGCCGTTGCAATGGCTTTGTGTTGGATTTCTTGTGCACCTTCAAACCACCACCACCACTCTAGCTTTATTCAAAACCTCAGCCCCGCACACTCATCCCCACCGCTGGATAAACGAAAACCACCCCAAATTACCCTTTCGGTCTCAACGCTTTCTTCTTCTTCTAATCCCATTGCAGAAGGCGAAAGATTTCCAGTTGTTGTGAGCAAAAGATTAGTTAATCTCACTATTGTTGGAGCTGTATTATCAAGATTCTTGTTTTTCTCTAAGGCCCTGGCTTCTCAATTGCTGGAGCTTCAACAATACACTGATCCCAAAGAAGGATTCACTCTTCTTATACCCTCTTCTTGGATTAAGGTCCATTCTCCTCCTACCTTTAATGGGATTTTTAATTAAATTTTGGGTTTTTAGTAGAATAAAACTTTCCGATTCTTAGTTGAATTATGCACTAATTACATCTTATGCCGGTGTATGAAAGGTGAAGTATTTTTGGGAATTAACTCAAATGTCATTGGGTTTATCAGGTTGAAAAGGCGGGGGCAACTGTTTTATTTGAGGATGCAGAAAAGAAATCTAACAATATAGGGGTAGTGGTGAACCCAACTCGGATTTCGAGTCTAGGCGAATATGGTACTCCTCAGTTTGTAGCAGATAAACTTATCCAGGCTGAAAAGCGCAAGGTTAGTGAAGTGTAACGTTTTTATAATATAATTGTTTTGCTAATTGCATTTGTACTTTTCCACGTTGGTATCTGAATTGTGATTATACATTGTAATGAAATTGGAATGTGGCTTTACTTTTGATGGATTGAAAAGGTGAAGGAAAATATTAACCTGTTGAAATAAATTAATATGTAGGATTGAACTTTATTCCATGGAAAAATGGGTTATCTTTTCTTGTTTTAGCTACAATATCCATGTTAGGATAAACAATTTAAAGGACTAAATCTATCAGAATTTTCTTTGTTCATTATTAATGGACGATGACAAGTCTTAGAGCATGTTTGGCTAGGATTAAAATCCAATTAAAATTGAAAATATGTCGTTATTGAGTCTCGCTCGTCTTATAAAAATCAACAATAACGGTTAGTTTTTCAATTTTAATCCAATTTTAATCTCTACCGAACACGCCCTTAATAGGGAAATTGAATCCCTTGGGATGTCGCTTCCTTGATCTCTCATCTCTGTACTATGAGTGGACAGAAGTTGCATTTTATTGCTGACACAGGTTTAAACCTGATTGAGAAGGAACTTCGATTATGTAGGAAAGTACAAAAGAAGCCGAGGTAATTGCTTTCTCTGAGAGATCAGGTCATAGAGACCTTCAAGTGTACGAGTTCGAATACAAGGTTGACAGCACCAGGGGAGGGTTGAAGAGGGTCTTTTCTGCTGCATTTGTGGCATCTAAGAAGCTCTACCTTTTGAATATTGCTCACTCTGATGGTTTAGACGACCCTCTGGACATGGAGAGACGAATGACTCTGGAACAAATTTTGCACTCCTTTGATGCAGTATCTGCAACGTATACAAAATAGCCCGATTCTTGATTTCCTTTATCTTGTCTTGGAAATCTAAGGTATGCTGCTGCCCCGGCTTTAGATTTTTATTTCTCTCATTGCTGCTTGCAAACCAATTTGCCAAATTTTCTGTGTCACTTATTGCTTGTGTTTCGGTAGGGTGGGGTGCATTGAAGTGGACGATACTCTTAACTATTAAGAAAGAAGAAGAAATTATAAGTCATTGTATTGTTCACTTCACACCAAACATGCACTTTGTACTATGATTTATTGCTCTGGTTTTCCATACAATGTTCCTTGAAATCATCTGTCGACTCTTTTTAAGTAACATGATTGCACTGCACTGTGTTTTTCTCCAGGTTTATGCTGTGTATCAAGAGATTTAAGGGATTTCAATTTCAACCATCTGGCCATAAAATTCCACTTGAAGCACAAATTCCCATCTTAAAGGCCACTCTCTCATAGCTTTGTATGTATAATTTATTGGGTCAATTAGTGGCTCTACCGTTATGTGGGCAAAACCGGAAGCCAGATTGTTTGGTAGCCTTTTCACAAATTTGTTCTACTTGAACAATCTTCATCACTTGCTTCAGTTGCAGGGTTAGGTTTGATAATGAGCATATACACAAAAGGCGAACATAAAATCAGAGATTGAACTGTTCACAATAATCTCCTCTCAGAACAACTCATTTCGAAATTACATTGTCTTCTGATTAATCAATATAATAGATATTGAAGATAGCGTCCAACATGAAACAGTTCCTACATATTATATTTGATTAATCAGTGTGACCCAAATTGCATCATCAAAGCAAAACATGAACTTAACTGAGTAGGAGGAATATCTGTTAGCTACCAGAAGACCTACACAATAAAGTTTTTTTTCCTCCAAACAACCTATAAGCTTTAAAGGCAACAAGGAGATGCACTTCACTTCGTGGAAGTCAAGAAATTCATATCCGCGTCCTTTTTACATCGCTCTCGGGGACATTTACGTCATTACCGTTACCGCCAAATGATACCTGCAGCAATAGTTATGTTCATCCTAAAAACTCCAGTTCAAGAGATGTTTATTCTTTTCCGTATGAACATTGAGTAAAGAGAGGATGATAAGTTAGTTGTGTAACCGTGCGAAGATCAATACATGGATGAACTTACGTTCTCGTTAGGAACAACAGCATATCTGTCAGACGGCGAGACCAAACTTTTTTCTGTAAATGGAAACCATAAATATACAGAAGATCAGTTCATGCTAACTACTGAAACAATTCTAACTAATGAAATATGAAAATGTGTAGATCATATACAGAACCTGATGATATGTTAACTTTTGAGGCCTCTATCTGCTGTCCAGGTGACCCATCCATACTCAATACCTCTATGATCTTCGGGACATTTCTGTAAAATTTAGGATAATGTAGAGAGCCAATAATTTGGTTCAAGTAGTATAGTCGAAAGTTAAGCTAAGTTCCAGATTCTTCACGTAAGAACCAAAATTTTAATGTATTATCAAGGGACTGTGGTTGTACTTTATAAGCAAAAAAACAGCACGAGGAACAGAACTTGTGGACTTTGGATAATTCCTAGGTATTCAGAATTACCTGTCAAGAGTATCCCCATGGCCAAGCTGACCGTTTGTGCCCCTTCCCCATGAAAACACATTCTGCATTTCAGTGACAGCGAGCGTATGCCTCCAACCACACGAGATATCTACTACTTTCTGCCATAAATTTTAAGTGGAAAACCTTAGAATCGGAACCTGCCTTCTGCATTTGGAACTGACAATATAATGACATTGAAAAAAAAGACTATTGCCTGATCATGTGGAAATTTGACTTGTACAGGTGAGCAATGATCAACATTGTCACCAACACCAACTTGTCCAAACTGTGCAGAGATAAAGGTTGAAATTGAAAATACATCAATATAAAGACAATAATTTAAAGTTAGTTATATGTAAAAGAACTGCTTGACGATCATACGCATAATGAGATTATGTTCAGGCTATATAATCAATAAGAAACTAGAATTCTGAACCTTATTCCAGCCCCAACCGTAAAGTTCTCCGTTGGTTGTCAGTGCCATTGTGTGTCTCCAACCACCAGATATCTGGGAGCGAAAAAGGAAGAATGTGTAAAAACCTCAATAACATGAATAGTACAAAAACAATATAGTTTATTTTTTACTTTCCTGTATTCCCACAATTTTATTATCTAAGGCTTTACAGAATACAGTACTGGAAATTTTCTGATTCAGTTTAATTGGTAGGCCAAAAGAGTGAGGAATACAAGCGGATCCACAGTCTTTTCCTCATCTTAAATCCTCTACAACCAGACATACCTAAAAAATTCAAGCAAATTTGTAACATTCTGACTTGTGCCGAAAATGACAAATTACCTGAGAAATAAATTTTTCACGCAATGCTTCTAGCTTATGAGGGATTAGGTGGTCTTCAAAATCTCCATGTCCTAGTTGACCATATTTGCTCCACCCAAAGGTATACAAACTACCCATAGCAGAGACAGATATCGTATGCCGCCATCCACATGCCACCATGACCATCTTTTCTCCCTGCAATTCTGGATTAGCGTGACTTGGGGAGAAGGAAAGAAGATGAATGAGACTAAAAGTTGGAGATGCATTTTAGCCAGTGTCAGTTTTTATGCGATTTCACAAGACTTGAAGTGGAACAGTAACTGATAGCTCATATTACAGCAAAAATACGTGGATATTCAGTGTCAACATACCTCAACAGTTGAAACTTTCTCGGGAATCAAGCGGTCATTTCTATCACCTAATCCCAGATTTCCATATCGACCCCACCCCCAGCCATAAAGCTCACCACCTTCTGTTACGGCAGCTGTATGTTCAGCACCAGCAGCGACCATTTTGATAGATACTCCCTACAAAAAGTACAAGTGGTCGATCTATAAAATGCTCAAAACACTCAATTTATCATTTCTTTGTTCAACCAGAAATATATCTACTAAATGGAAGAGACAGACAGCATCTTTTTTTTCTTGCAAATGAAGTTATCATGCTTAGTCGGCTCCAAATCGATATGCCTTTTTTTTTTCTTGTTTTTTTTCATTGTGTGAATAAATGAAGACATACCATCTTTTTAGCAGTAGCAGAGCTAAACATATTCTCTTTTACAAAAATTATCTGGATCACTATATCTTCATAGGCATCAAATGAGAATAGGATAAACAACTTCAATAGAAACTCCAGGTGGAAATTTTTGCACTTTCTTAAAACTGAATACAAACAATGATAATTAGAAGAACGAAAAGCAATCTTCATAAAATCAGATAATTCCCTGTTCACATGAATACTTCCAGTAAACTCTGTTATGCTAATGCTACTGGCACATATAGCATTCTGCTTCTTTGGACACATTCTAGTTTTATTTTATTTAAAGACTGCTGGAATGAGCAACAGAACGATGGCAGGCAAAAAAAAATGGAAAACACCATTATCGAATAAATGAGTGACAGAAAAGAAAGCAGCAATCAGAACTTCTCGACGTAATGAGAAATTCACAGTACCTTGAAAGCTTCAATCTTCCGTGGCACAAGAGAATCCTCCGTCGTCCCAAGGCCTAGTTGACCATTTTGATTACGCCCCCAACTTTAATTGAGTAGAAGTGCGAAAATGCAATATTATCAAAATGTCAATAAGAGTAAACATTCAACTCATTCAATTCAAAACAAACTAACAGTCTAATGCTTCTACATGAGAAAAACCCAAAAAATTCTTCGACTGAAACAATTCTACCTTCGATCTTTAATAGTACACAAATTACAGAAGCTCAAAATAGAAAGAACGCTGTGGTTACTTCACACAATTTGCACGGTTTGAAGAATTGTAAATCTTATGATTTAACGCAGGATCAGGGCAGCACCTTATCATCATCAACAAAAGAATAACTCATTAGGATAATGGGCATACTGTTGCAGTACAAGTTGCAGCAAAACGATACTAGTATTTCCTACATTTCAAAATTATATAGAAATCTTTTTGTCAGGGTTTCTAAGTTAATGGCTTGAGATTTACTGAGATAATTGCTCTCTTGTATATTTTGATTTGAAGTCATCAAATACCAAAGTACCAGTAAAACCTCTATAAAATAATAATGGTGGAATAGAAAAAATATTATTTTGGAGGAATTATTAAATTATCGATAAATGAATAATTGTTAATTTATAGAGCATTGTATATTTTTGTAGTTTGTATTATAGCTTATCATAATACATGTAGGAATATTGAAAAAAAAAAAATTGAAAGTGATGAATTTAAGTGTTTTAAGTCACATTATTTTGGAAGAATGTATTTTGGAATAGTAAACTGATGGAAAATGTGCGATTGAAAAATAAGGAAAAGTTATTGATGTGATGTAAAATATTATTTTATTGAAAAATGTATGGTTGAAAATAAATAGAAAAATAAGAATGAGAATTTTAATGTGGCTCAAACATGGACTAAAATTTAATCCGTAAACACACAAAAAGACACGCATACATTCATTAAAGAGGAAATATTAATGTACGTGCATTGGCTTCAAAATTTAATATTTTGGAAGCTTAATCTTTCAAGTTATTTTATGTACACATAGAACATAATTTCTGCTGTCATTAGTTTTAGTTTAGCACTCATTCCAAATTTCATACATTTTTCTACCATGGTGTCTCGTTTGAAAGGAGTTAAAAATCTACATCGACGATAATTGTGTTTTATCAACTATTTCTTAAAAAGAGGCATTTCAAAACCTTCGTAACCTTAAATAATTAATTTATACAAAATGAAAAAAATATGCCAAATGTAGTATATGCATTGAATTTGATATGGATGCAATGAAAAAGCAAAAAATTCTAGATGCATATTTTGAAAAAGATACAAACTAAAAAAAAAAATATGTTGTCAAATTAAAANAAAAGATACAAACTAAAAAAAAAAAGGGAAAAGATAGATAGCCTGGGTGCAAACCCCGGCCCCCTAGCACAGCTCAAAAAAAAAAT